AAGGAATGAAAGCTGATTTAGAGTTTATATATCAGATGCCAGAGGTGAAGTTTGTAAAGCCAGAGAAGATACTGAGATTTACTACAATCTTGAGAAAGGTGTTTTTTTTTTAGGCAAAAAGATTCATATGAGCTCAATATGACACCAGGAGGAGCTAATGGCAGAAGTGTCATGGTATAGATTTTGAAATAATAAACTGTCCTTGAATGTTCTACTTTATTATGACAGAACCTAATGATTAATGTTCTGACAATAATATTTGGCGGTAGATAAATCTGTCAATTCCATCCTTGTGAATGCAGATTCTAGCTCCTTTGGACTGTAGGTTTTTCTTTATGCGATTAAAACCAGACTCAGAACTATCTCAGACCTTCCAGATGGAGTGATTATATCTCATTGAGCTCCTGCAGAGATGGCAATATTTCACTAATGGCACTTCAGCTCAGCCTCATCCCCAGCTGTATTTCCCCTTCCCAAAAAAACCCACCATGGGAGTCAATGCTTACAAAAGAAACAAAAACAATTTTAAAAATTGGCACAAAATTATATGTTTATCTATAACTTACGACTGCAATTGTTTTTATTTTAAAAAAACAAAAAGATAAAAGAATCTAACCTTTCGCGTTTGGAGCACTGCTGCTGTTTGGAGCACTGCCGCTGTTTGGAGTTGCCATGTCCGCATTTGGAGCTGCCGCCGCATTTGGAGCACCACGGCCATTTGGAGCGCCACTGCCACTTCAAACACGGCGGCAGCTCGAAACATGGAAGTGGCAGCTCCAAACATGACGGCAGTGCTCCAAATGGCAGCGGCACTCCAAACACGGAACCAGCAGCTCCAAACATGGTGGCGGTGCTCCAAATGGCGACACTCCAAATGGCAGCGGCGCTCCAAACACGGAAGCAGCAGCTCCAAACGTGGCGGCGGTGCTCCAAATGGCGTTGGCACTCCAAATGGCAGCGGTACTCCAAACACGGAAGCGGCAGCTCCAAACGTGGTGGCGGAATGGGCAGAAGGGAAAGCAACAGCGGCGGGTGCCAAAGGTCTTGGATCTGCAGCAAAGGTGTTTGGTGGGAGTGGGGAACTCTCTGCGCTTCGCCATGATCACCCGTTAGGAGCGGCTGGTGGTGAGGCTGCCCGCGGGGCGCTCTAGATGAGGATGTAAGGGGGGGAATTAAATCACCCCTGAAAAGACGGCCTAACCGTCTTTTCGGGGCTCAAAAAAAAAATAAGGCCCGGCCTTATTATGTGAGAAACACGGTAGGTTGGCAGGAGCTGGGGCAAGGATACATGGGCAAAAGATTTTTACATAGCTTTCCCTGATCATACTTTACTTATGACCAGTGCTAATCAGCAGAGATTGGTGGCAGGATAGGGCAACTCACTTTTAAGCAGCATCTGGGCTTTCCCTGTTTGGGGGTTAGGAATTGAACCATATCATTTATTGATTACATATGTACCTTTGTTAGTTCTAAAGGTGATAGAAAATTTTCCTATCCTTCATGAGAACTAATCCTCAAAATCAAAAAAACAGAATCAATCCTCCACATGGTTCTGGTTAGAAACAGAAAGAAGTACAATAAAGGAGAAAGAAATTTAAGTCTCATATAAATAAATAAGCTTATTATTAAATCCATATGCAAAAAATAGAATAGAATAGAAGGTAATTCTCATTTGGCTACAGGGAGGTTGTGCTTCAAAAATTAAAAACTTGGATATAAATGGCTCATTCATCACATTATTTAGTAGGCGACTTGGAGTTACCCACTGTCTTCTCTGCCTAATTTTAACATAATAGCATGGGCTGAAATAGGCTACAATTCTGCCCCAGACTCGCGTTTCTTTTATCTGACCATTTTCAGCTCTTCCTACTGTTCCTCGGGGTAATTTGTTCTATTCATTGCAAGGAAACATATTAACTGTATTTAATTTAAATAAAGTGTAATTGCAATGATGGTAAACAAAATTAAGATGGCTGCTGTGATCAGAACCACACCTTCCTTTATGTAAATCATGAATGAAAAACACATAAAGAGGCAAAGCTTTTGTCATGTGGTCACAGTTGCCTTCTTGACAATTTCAATCCCCTGCATTTGATTTTTTTTAAAAAAAGTTTTCTCCTGATCATATACTGCGTCCATTTGGAATATAGCTCTTAAAGATCTTGCCATGTTGGCTGAAGTTTATAGGAACTATGGTCTAAAATATTTACAAAGCATCAAGTTGCTAATTCTGACTTAAGAATTTACTTCAGCTTTGTTTCAAACAATGCTCATTCAACAAGCTGAAAAGGGAAGGGGGAGATAGCTGAGAATAATTGATTTCAGGACCAGCCTTGAAGAGAAAATGATAGTGTTTTGTTTATTGCCACTTGCAAGTCCCATTTAAAATCATTTCAAAGTATAACAAGTGATAGACAGCCCATCCTAAATTGTATCATTTGCCTCTCCAGTGCCTGTGGGTGGGAACCCTGTATTTAGTTATGAGTGCCAACTACCACCAGAAGCAGCCGCTCGCCAGAAGCAACCACAAACTTGTAACAGACAAAACAAGAGCCAGGGAACAGAAATTGCAAAAGAGCTAAATACCAACTCCATCTTTCCTCCAAAAAGAGTTTGTGGCAATGCTATTATGGGACAGTATAAGGTCACCAAGAACATAGAGAGTTTGCGCACTTCCCCATCCTCCATACACACACACACACACACACACACACACACAGCGTTCTGCATTCCATGTTTAAATGTTTGCTGATAATTGGTAATTGTTTTGTGAATGACCAAATACTCTTCAATATCTTCATCAATGATTTAGACAAGGGGATAAGAAGGGGAACTCATCATATTTGCAGATGACACCAAGCTGGCAGGAATAGCCAATACTCCAGAAGATAGGCTCAAGATACAGAAGGATCTTGACAGATTGGAACACTGGGCTCTATCTAACAACATGAAATTCAGTGGCAAAAAACGTAATTTAGGCAAGAAAAACCAAATGCATAGGTATAGAATAGGTAGTACCTGGCTCATTAATAGTAACTGTGAGAGGAATTTTTGAGTCCTAGTGTACAATCACTTAAAAATGAGCCCGCAGTGTGCTGCAATTGCCAAAAAGCCAATTTGGCCCTAGGCTTCATTAACAGAGGGATAGATTCAAGATCATGTGAAGTGTTAGTACCACTTTATAATGCCTTGGTAAGATCACACTTGGAATATTGCAACTAGTTTTGGTTGCTACAATATAAAAAAAATGTTCAGACTCTACAAAGCCTGCAGAAAAGAGCATCAAAGATATTTAGGGAACTGGAGGCTAAAACATACGAAGAACGGTTGCAGGAATTGAGTATGTCTGGTTTAATGATGGGTGAGGAATGATATGATAGCAACGATCCAATATCTAAGGGACTGCCACAAAGAAGATAAGGTCACCTATTTTCCAAAGCATCTGAAGACAGGACAAGAAGCAACGGATGGAGACTAATTAAGGAGAGAACCAACCTAGGAGAAATTTCCTGACAGAACAATTAATCAATGGAATGACTTGCCTCCAGAAATTATAGGTGCTCCAACACTTGAGATTTTTAAGAAGAGATTGGCAACTCTTTGCCTAAAATGGTATAGGATTTCCTGCTTGAATTGGGGGTTGGACTAGAAGACCTCCAACGTCCTTTCCAACTCTGTCATTCTATTATTCAATATTAATAAGCTCATCTGTATTGCCTGTGTTTTATTTCATATTCCCCAGTATAATATTTCAAGTATCTAATATAATAGTTCATGGTCTACCAAAAGTATCTTTTTTCCCCCTTTGCAACTAGGCAAATACGAAATTATGTACTTTGTTCCAGTTTATGTAGGTTTGTAGTTATCCTGCATATCAGTCAAAAGTAAAAGTGATGTAATTCAATGTTCTCCTTTCTTATTTTAAAAAGTATGTCTTTCAGAACTTATAAATCTTATCTCTTATATAGATTTGATTTAGAATTTTCATACTTAATCTTCTGGGTTGGCAAGACCCCGATGTAAAAAAGGATATGATTTCCATAAAGCCCACACATTATTCAAAATAATGGAACATGTAGGCCAGCCATCTTTCAGAAAAATCTATAGCTTGCATACATCTATTTCCTTCTTTTCATTCAGTGCCTTCAACCCCTCACTGAATCATGGACTAAGAACATTATTTTCCAGCAGCAAAATAGGAGATATGCTAATGGGCTCTCTTTGTCTCCACAAGATCCATTTGAGCAAACCATATGCTCTGGGTTATAGTTCTGCATCTGGCGGGGGGGGGGGGGGGGGGGAGCCTTAGTTCAGTTTAATCATCATAAACACAAACAAAAAGATCACTTGACTGTCAACAATATTATTATGTAGCAAATGTCACAGAATAGTCATGAACATTTTAGTTAATCGTGTGGAAAGGGTGGTCACGGAATAAGTAAAAAGCTCTGAAATGAAGGATTGGTCTAAGTCACAGATTTGCAGCCCATCGAGAACCACATTCCCTTGAATAACGTGATAGAAGTGCGTTGGGGAGGGAGCATTTCTGGCGCCCACTTTTTCTTCTTCATAACATCTCAGCAGATAAAGGACAGGGTCACTCTTATCAGAAATTAGAGCTTGCCTAAGATTTCTGAAAATTAACCCTCCAGCTGAATGAAATTAGCCGAAGGGCTGCAGGGTTTCCCATCTGTGGTATCCATGGAAGAACATGCAGCTCTAAAAACAAGGGGGTCTCCTGTAACGTGGGAACTGGGGACGAATCATCCGAGGACCAAAGCACGAGGCAAGATGAAGCAAACTTATTTGGTGTCATGTAGCGAAGAAGACATAGAGATGCTACATTATCTTAAAGTAAACATACTTTGCTGCTGATAATGGATGTAATAGGGGTAATTTGAAATATGTGTTTCAATGCATCTTCCAGTGAGACTGGCTGTTTGCATATTCTTCTTCACAAGTTGCTTCTCCACCGACGTCTTTTTGTTTTTTCCTTGCAGGTGTGGGTACCAGAGATTACTACAGGAAGATTGGCTATGGACTAGAAGGGCCCTATATGGTGAAGAGGCTGGACTGACATTTGGTGAAGAACACCTGAGGCTTTGGATTTGCACAATAAGGCCAGAGCAGAATGGAGATGCCATGGCCCTACTACAAACACTGTCTGAACTAGCCAAACAAGGTCCATTTAAATCACTTGATATCAAAGAGGATTCTCTTGAGTATCACATTCAAATCCATCCAATGAATTTTTTGGCTCTTCCACAACAGGCAGAAAAAAGAGTTGACCATTATTTCATTGCTCCGATTATCATTTACAAATGGGTAACAGCCTGGAAACCTTCAGGGTTTGAGATCTATGATGTCATAAGGCAGGTGTGTCAAACTCGTGGCTGGCGGGCGGGATGCATCACGCGCTGGCAACACTCACCCCCGTTTTAGCAAAAGGGGGAAAAGTGATACGTCATGTGACAACGTGATACTGCGAGTTTGACACCCCTATCACAAGGTGTCTGCAACGTAGACCTTTTTATATCAACTGCAACTATTTTTAACAGATAGCATTGGGCTTTCTTTTGGTTTAGTCTAATGTTAAGTGACAATTGCCTCGTGTGCAAGATTAAACTTGCCACTTTTAGTATCTGCAGTGTTAGCCTGACCTTCAGTTGTTTACTTGATAGTCTCCGAGTATATCTGGCATTACAGATAAAGTTTATAGTTGCAGATACACAAGAGAAAAGGCATCATTCTTTTTACAAAGTAAAATTGTTCCTGCCAATTAAATATGTTTTGCATTCACTGCTTATTTATATTGACATCTGTATCCCTCCACTCTAATATCTATGTACCAGTGTGTTTCACAAAAGTGTTTCACCGTGCTACATTAAACCACAGAGTCATTAAAATGTATTTAAAATCCAATGGAGGGAATCATAGGTAGTCTATTAGCCTCTAGGTAAGATAAGCGGCATACAAATTATATTAAAAATCTTTTCAGAATCAAGGTGGATTTATCTTAATGAAGATGACTGTAAACTATTCAAAATTTGACTTTGAATCAATAATCTAAAACCATACAATGTCAGATTTTCACTGCTTTGGCTGGGATGCAATTTGTGATGCAATTAGTGGAACAAGAAGTGCGTGCCAGGCTACAAATGAAGCAAAATGACCGCATCCCTCCCATTTCATGGCAGGTTTCCATGCACAATACTTTAATAAGAATCTCCCTCAAAATATTTGCAGGCAGGGTTTGATTTTGGTCCTTGGCAGCATCTCCAATCTGAAGGATCTCAGGTCAATAGACTGGGAAAGGTCTCTCTGATAAAACCTTGGAGGTCACCATTGATATTGCAAGCAACATTATTATCATCCTGTGGTCCTCCAGTTATGATGCAACCATATCTCCCAGAATTACTCTGGAGTATCAGGTTGGGAAGATCAGTGGACCAAAGATCTAATTCTCTCTCGGACGCCAACGGATGTGTCCACAGCCTGCTATATCTGGGTACCTGGCACTGGAGCAAGCCTTTTTCAGGGACTCAAGTATCTCCATTGGGATCCTTCCAGTAACTCCAGTAAATTGAGTTTATTGTACATTTAGTCAATAAATTGAGTAAAAATACCAGGGTCATTATAAGAACTCCAGTGGAGATGGTGAAAGAAATTGAAAGCACCACTGTGCTACTTCTTGCTTCTCCAAAGCTAGCACTTTCATGATTTATTTCTAATTTCTTGACAGAGAAAAGGGCTTTATCTGAAGCATAATTGATACAGGACCTTGACTTGTTTGTCATTGAGGAGGCAGCAGAATGGAAGGCGTCCTTCTTCTTTCCCACAAAATGTCAAGGTTTCCATTTGGTTCAAGGCAGTAGAGTGAGGCCATGCATTTGAGAGCAAGTGAGCAAAGACGAGGCAGTTCCTCACAGTCTCGCTCAGCAGTTCCTTAAAAGGTTTGAGCATATGTCCAAAAATAAAATTTGAAAGGCTCTAATTTTCAGCCCTGTCACCACAAATGATTTTTTTTCCCCTGGGATTGGGGAAAGAAAAGGAAAGGAGACAATTCAAGTCTCAGCTGTAGTGTCAAGAAGAGCACAACGAACCTGGCCACGAAGTCACCAGGATCAAGTTGGATTCAAAGGAAGTTTAAAGGTGAAGGAAGCATCTCGGTCAAAAGCCAGGAGCAGCACTTTGGCAGGGAGCTTGTATGCTGAATGATGTCTGTTTATCCTCTCTGTCAGGGGTCCCCAAACTTGGCAACTTTAAGACTTGTGGACTTCAACTCCCAGAATTCCTCAGCCAAGTCCACAAGCCTTAAAGTTGCCAAGTTTGGAGACCTCTGCTCTCTGTGCTTATGAAACAAGACAAAATCCCTTAAGAGGAAGACAAGAGTTTTGCAACTATGCTGGCTGGGGAAATCTGGGAATTGAAGTCCACAGATCTTAAAGTCCCCAAGGCTGAGAAGCACTGCCTTAAGATGAAACTAGGTGTTTCATCTTAAGGCAGTGCTTCTCAGCCTTGGGGACACAAGAAGAACACAAATCCTGATTCCTTGCCTAAGCAAAGTGAAAATCCCCAAGTTTCCTTATTTAAGTCCAACTGATGTAACTTTCAGTTGTGGCCATTCTGCACATGTGGATGTGGTGGGCAGGCAGTTAAATTTCTTAAAAACCAAATGAAAGAATCAAATATATTTGAAACTTTGAGCAAAGTTGCTGGGTAAACCTTGCGGTTGTGAGAGGGAAGATTTTTGTATTTGATCAATTTGCATTTGATAAGATACCAGTATCGATATAGATTTTTCTCGTAGGAGTAGCCAAAATCTCAGTGAATTATGAAAATTGAACAATCATGCAAATGCTTTAAAATTCCACAAATTGTACTGGATGGAGTTTGGGCTTTCTTAAAACCAGCCCAAAATGTATTGGGCTAATTCTTGAGCTTGAAAGCATAACACGAATACCATAAGCCTTTGCTAAAAGGTTGTAGTTGCCTGCAGAATGATTTTAGTTAATAAGGATTTAAAGAATTGCCGTGACTACATGCAAATCCTGAAATTCTTATAAGCCCACTTTCAAACCGTTGATTGCAGTGGCAAAAGCAAACAATGAATGCCTTTCTCTTCCCAGCTATCCATAAAACAACCCCAGTAGGAAGCAGAGACTTCAGTAGGACCAACGAAGATTGGAGAAAATTAAAGCATGCCTGAACCAGCCAAATAGCTCTCAACTTTTTAAAATCCCAGCAATGGCTAGTCTTTTTCTGTCAGCCTTGGAGCAAAGCATAGGGCTCCTGCTTGTGTAATTTAAAGCGCCACCTGCCAGGTTTCATAAAAAGCTGCAACAAGAAGTGTTTTCTAGCTGTGTATGATTTGCCTCACAGGGCTGAGAATGAAACAACTCCTGATTTACTACTTGTAAATTTCTGCTTTTTTTTTTTTGTCTGTGCTGAGCAGGGTAGTCTATAACATAGTGTCAAAATAATGGCTTTTCAACCTGGACCTTAATTTTAAAAAGAAATACAGATGAGAGGTTCGGAACCTCTGAGTGAGAAGTATAGAGCAGGGGTGACAAACTCACATTTTCACAGCCGTGTTACTAACATATCAGAACTTCTTTTCCCTTTGCTAAACCGGGCTGGGGCGGGGCCAGCACGTGATGCATCAGGCCCATGGGCTGTGAGTTTGACACCCCTGGTGTAGAGCAAGAAATGTTTAGCTTTGGCCTGTGAAAAGGGGGTAGATAGACCCAAGGTTATGAAAATTCAGATCCCCTAGGTAGCTGAGCTGCCTACCAGACCAAAAAGTCTTGGGATGCTGCTGTTTTTTAATTAAATGGTGGTTGGGTTTTTTTGTACATTGCCTGCTCTATATCATTATGAATTTAAGTGCTATTCTGTTTCCAGGTATCCTTTCCTGAAGAAAGTTAGTTCTGCCAGGGTTATGCTTCTCTAAGGGCTCGGGGTGGGGTCTAGAGGGATAGAGCAGATACGTAAGGTCTATCCTCTCACAGATCATAAATAAGAAAAAGAAGAGATTTAGAATTTCATCAGGGCTGAAGTTGCAATTCCACTGCTTCCTATTGCTGTCACTCTTCCTCCTCCCTACATTAGATGCACACTTCCAGGACTGTCCTGTAGTTGTATGTGGTGGACTGATAAGGTCTTGGCTTTTGTTGATGTTGTCCTTCTGAAATTTGAAAGGGGCAACTAGTTCCAGTTACCTCTTTCTGAACTTTTGGAACTACTGATGGTTTAGATTTATAGGATTCCCTGGAGTTCTTTCATATTGGCTCCCTCGCTTTTCTGCAATATGTTAATCGGTTCTCTTGTGCCTGGTCTGTTGGCTTTAACTCAGCTTTGATGGGAGAAGCTATATGGGCATATTTTGTGGCCAGATCTTGCACGATCAATATTTTGATTGTTTTGATGCATCTGGGGAATTTGTCAAAGGGAAAGGTAGATAAGCAACTGCACAAAATGAACAAGTTGTGTCATCTCATGTGTAGTAGGGGGGAAAGTTCTAGGGGAAAAGTTCTTCATTTTCAAAAATGCATTGATTATATATTGAGGGCTTACATGATGGTTTCAGTTCCTATCCCAAAGTGGGGAATCTCACAATTTCTCCATAGCAATAAGAAAGGGTTCTGAAGACTCAGAAAAGAAAAGAAGGGATCCTGGGGTCACAGGGTATACACACCCTACATTAGAGAGCCCACAGCTTAGTGTGGAACTTCATAGGTTCAGACAATTGGAATTTGCCTAATTTCAAGGTCTCAAACAATCCAACCAGAGATTGTTTTCCCACTCAAAATGAGAAAAAAAAGTGCCATCGAGGTCATTAACACTCAAGAAGAGAGAGGGTTGTTCCAGCATGTTCCAGTCCATGCTGGCTGAGGGATTATTGGACTTGAAGTCCACACATCTTAAAGTTGCCAAAGCCTTTAAGTAGGCTGGTAAAAACCGATCCTCCACCCACGTCTATGGAGATTCTCAGTCATCCAGGTCATAGTTGTCCTAAAGGTGCTTTTTCAAGAGGCAACTGGACTTTCTGGTTTTTCTTTGAAGACGTTTCACTTCTCATCCAAGAATCCTCTTCATCTCTGACTGGATAGAGGGAAACATACAAATAAATTATAAATCTTCCATTCCCCTCCATCCAGTCAGAGCTGAAGAAGCTTCTTGGATGAGAAGCAAAATGTCTTCAAAGAAAAAGCGTCTTTGGGACTCAGACAACGATATAGCCATAGAATCGAAGGAACGATCAAAAGATGATCATCTTGATTATGAACTCTCAGGCAACAGAGAGTTACATTATTCAGTTAAATTCATCAGGCTGAGAAAGCAAAAAGTTAATACTCCTTTGAATACTCTTCAAGGCCTTGCTGAGTTGTGGACTCTGGAAACATGATAGAGGCAATATTTATAGTCAGAGGTACTTGAAGTCTATACCAAGTCTCAATTGTTCCCTTGTTTTTTATTTGGCAGTAAACTTTCTGAATAATAGGCTGTTTTCCACTATCACCACCATTATTTTTATCTTTTGCTATCAAAAAGGCGTACATTTTAACTGTATCCTTGAGGATCACAATGTTGTTGCATCATAATGAAAACAGATGACTGGTATTTCCAAAACCAGTTGTTTTTCCCATCTCCTGTCTTCTTTTTATAACATCATCAGATCTGGAGCAATGTATTCTTTTCTGCATTTTACTGTTGTATATACTTTCTGATCTCTTCCTATTACACATCTTAACTACGTTGTGATTTTTGTTGTGACATTGGGTTAAACTCGTTTTCTATTTTACGGCAAAGAGAAAAAAATGTCAGGGAGAAATCCAGTCCCGTTTGTTTCAGTTAAAAAACTGCTCTGAAAAACTACTCTTTTCACAGCACATCACTTGGTAGATTGAGAACCCACTTTGTATATGCAATTCTAGTATATACAAGAATCTGAGTAGGTTGCTGTCAAAACTCAAATCTCAGTTGAGAAGCAGGACAGAAATGCAATAGTGCCCCAATTAAAATTCCCTAGTAATCTATCTAGGTATCTATTGGCCTATCAGAGGTAGCCCAGCCATGAAGCCAAGCCAAAGCCATGAATACTAATCTAGCTTTATTATCAAATTACAGTAACAGAATCTTGCAAGTCTGAAAGCATTCTCCCGTTCCCTGTCTTTACTTTCCAGAGAACCAGGAAGGATCCCTTCTGAGATGCTTTGTCCACCTGCATTCCTATTTTCCTACTTTAGACTTGGATCTCTCTTTTCGGATCTTTGTCTAGGCTGTGGCTCTTCCTCCTGTCTCCCAAGGCTGTTATTACAGCCCATTATAGTACCATACTGGCATCCTGAATAGTAATCATTAGCTAATAGTCCTTCCGCTATGGAAGAGAATACGGTAATCAGTCATTGTTAGAAACAAAATCAGACCCTGTACAACAATTCTTCGAGAATGTCAGAATGAAAGGAACCGCAAGGATCAGCTAGTCCAAAGTGCTGCATTGTGTAGGAAAACCAGTTAAACCACTCACAGGAACCAAATTCAAGCAGAAATGGCTCTCCAATACTCAGCACTTTACACAGGGAGGCAGATTTCAAACATTTGCAATATATGGCATCCAGCATTTAGTTAGAAACCAGTAACATTTTTTAATGCTTAAGGTAAAACGCAGATAGCTTAATTGCACTTAGCAATTGGAGACACAAACAGAAAGTGTGGATGTGTTGGTAAAATGTCTTGACACAATGCTTTCAATTAACAATTAAAATTTATTTATCTAATTTGCCTGTGTTTTACTATTTTAATAATAACATAGCAAGTTAAAAATATGATAGATGGCTGCCAGGCTTGTTTTAAAAACTTCCAGATTTGTTTATGTAGCTTATTTATACCATGGGTAAAGTAAATTATTCCACTGTTCCACTGATCTTGCTATGTCTTCTTGATGAATATAAGCCTGACATGTTTAGACAAGAAGCTGATTGGATTACACAGCTCTGTCCTTGGGAATTTCTTGCTTAACTTGGCTTATGTGATCAACCAAAGAAGAGTAAACGTTCTTTTGCCTCCCATTCTTTTCTCTAAATGCATCTGAAAATGGTAGAATCATTATTTGTACAGGTGTTTTAAATTCAAGCATTAATGGACAGAACAAAGATATTAGATCCCATGTAACCCATTTTAATATCTCTGCAGGCTACATCCTCCTTATACTGTAAAAAGGGAGAGAAATGTAAATTTGCTTCCGTTAAACAGTTTGCACAAACACTCAGAAGAATAATTGGGGAAGTTTGCTTTGCCAATTGCTTGACCCAGAGAGCAGTGTTTTTTGGCAGATGAAGTGACTGATCTGTCTGTGGAAATGGTTACGGATGCACAGGAACTCTTATCTCAAAGCAGCAGGTGCTGAATGAATTATCCTTTTTTAATAACACTGCAGAGTGCTAGATGCTGCTTGTGGGTCCCTGTAAATGATTGT